TTCATCTTTTACCAAGAAAAAAAAAAAATATCTCTTTAAAAAAAAAAAAAAAAAAAAAAAAGAGCCATATGCTGCTGCCTCAAGTCACGTCAAAGCCCGAGCGCTCTGCAGAGCGACACGCAGCATCCGTGAGCGGAAGGCAGCAGTGCCAGGCCAGAAGACACTCTCCAGAAGACTATAAAAGGCTGTCTGGTAAGAATGCTGTTTCTCCTTACTCCAGAATTAAGATGAATATAGGAACAGCACAAAGCCCACGCTCACAGCCTGGCCGACTGAGGCAAATACATCACCTCTTGACACAAAGCAAGCATCTCTGCGCAGCACGGCATTATCGAAACGTCAATACCAGAGTAAAAACCAGCCGTTAACCCCAGAATGTTGGAGGAACACAAAGGGAAAACCTCCTTCATATTCAATACGTAACTCCGCAGAGGTTGCCCCCGCAGCTGCGCGGCTGGCCGTGATACACACGCTCTGCAGGGGGCTGAGAGGGGGCCAAAGGAAACACAGCGCTTGGGGGAAGAAAATAACGAGGGCCTCACCGTATCGAGCTCGCAAACTCAGGAACTCGCTTTCTGCAAGTTATCTGTGCAGAACACACTCTCTGGCAGCCCATCGGCAGCCAGCGCAGAGCAGGGCGCTCCGATACGCCCTTTCCCAGCGTCCGCACAACGCAAGGCGACGCCGAGGGAGCTGGGCTCCTTTCTGCGCCAAGGCGCCGGCAGCACCCGCCCAAAGCCGCTCAGCAACTCGCCGTCTTCCACCTTCCCAAAGGGAAACCGCACAATTCCCAGGAAAGCTTCTAAACGAACTTCACTTCACCTTTCCAAGACACACGCACTTTAGCTGCGAGTAGCCCCCAGAACTTGCAGTCTGCTAAATTTCCCCCGCTGAACACCAAGCGGAGCTCGTTACTTCCTCATCTCAACTACTTATTCAGCTCAACCTCATTCTGTCAACAGCTCGCTTCCCCAAGCCTCGTCGGGAAGTCCACTCTTCACTACCACCAAAGTTCATCCACTTGTTAGGTGCAGACTCACACCAGCCTTGACACAATCTGCTCTTTGAATCCAGAGTTGGTTACTCCCTCGGGGAGCTTTTGCTCAAGAACTCTTGTGGCCATCTCCTCTCAGAGAGGAATTCATCATGAAATTGGCGCAAGCAAAGTTTATTGCTATCATCACCACCAAACCTACCATCTGTCAAGCCAGGGCTTTTTACCGAAAATAACATCAGCGCTGTATCCTCCCAGTCGGAGCAAAACAGCTTTGTTTGTTTGGGGTTTTTGTCTTTAAATGCAGCTCCGCTCACAGCAATCTCCAAGTCCTTTCCTTACGCGTCTTAAAAGCGAGAAGTAAGACGTTACGTACCACTGATGGCACTCAGCACTTTGGTCCCATTTCTGTAAGGCAATTTCCATCTCTTCTTTCCCTGCAATAGGAGGCCAGAGATAAGAAATTCAGCCACTTTGTCTCTTTACGTCCTTCTTTAAGGCTGTTGGAGTACAATAGCAGTGTGGCATAAGAAGTTACATATTGATTAGTTTTATAATACAGGTGGCTTGAAAGTGTTCCGTAAATAACTTCATACTCTTGCAGCGATACGGAGCATCCCAGCCCGCTCAGAGAGATCGTGCAGATTTTAAGCAGAGTCACAACACGGCGCTTCGCCTCATTTGGACGCAGTGTCATCTCTAACGAGAACATCTTCCCTGCTGCGCTAAGAAAAGGTAATGAGAGTTTTCAACGGGTTTGTTCCGATTCATTTCACAGCCTCAGATCTAGGACTTGCCCCGCTGCCCCCTCTCTCCTCCAAGAACCAACAGGCTCAAAAAGCTGAAGAAGGGGGAGAAAAAAGCGGGGTTTCTAACCCCGACGTGTAACGCCAGCTCTGACCACCCCCCTTCCCTCGCCTTGAACCCACAACTCCCTACCATCAGATGCGTACGATCTCTTCTCATCTGCGTCTTCTGTGATTTCGCACATATCGCTGTGTGCCCGGGCCAGGCGCCAAAGGAAGTCTCTCTGGTCTGCGTACTGCAGGAAAAACAGGAATGTCGCACGTCAAGATCCATTCTGCCATTGGCAAAGAGCAGGAGAAAGAAAAATCAAGCGGGGGCATACTCTAGAAGGCACACAGACATTTTTTTGAAACCTTAGAAGGCCCCAACTCTACAAGAACTGAAGCAGAACCACAAAAGAGCAAACCGGACGGCCACATTTGGAATTAAGCTTGTAACACTACGCTACTGGTACAGGTCTAATCGTTGCCACCTTCTAACACGGAACCTTTCCGCTTCAGAGGCCATACGGGGGCCAGTTCTTCAGCAGTCTCCGCTAACCCCAAAACACCGGGGAAAAAGTCACCCTAAACCTCACCACTTCACTAAAATTGACAAATTGAATTTTATTTTTTTCATGCTTCAGTCCGCATTCACACCGGTTCGCCTCCTGCCGCCTTCTCAAACCCGGGGCCGTGCTGTAGGGGTACCGCTAAATTTGAAGCGGGTGTATTCTGAAAAACCCAAACTTATTTAAGAAAAAAAAAAAAAAAGGAAAAAATTAAAACACAACCAAATAACAGTCTGTTTCTTTTGTGACAGTACTGTAAATAAAAGAAAGTGGGAGAATCACCAGGAAGAGGCAGGCAAGAGAATTTCAGAAGCCCACAGACCCATCATTTCTTCCTGGTTGGAAGGAAAAAAACCCCAATCTACTCGAAATTAGAATGGATCAAGTTATCCACTATTTCTTTCCTTCTATTCCTCGTGGAAATATAGGAGCCAAAAAGGTTTTGCTCTTTAAGAGGCTGGTAACCAGGAGGGTCTCTCTGCTGGCTCTGCAGCAGGTCGGCAGGCGCTACCGGAGGCAGCGGGGCACGTCCCCACGCACCAGTGGCAGCGCCAACGCTCACCCACTCAGGGGAGCAATTGGCATCGCCTCCAGGGGATCACACACGTGTTCCTTCAGGTGGCAAACCACCCGCACCATCCAGGCTTTTCATCTTGTTAGCTCATTAAGCGTTGCCTAACCCTTCTGTTTGGATATGCGACTTAGTTATGTCGTGAGCCGCCGCACGTGCGCACCGGGCGGTCCTGGGACAGACCAAGTTTCCCGAATCTAGACGGAGCCATTGCGTACGCAACGAGGTAAACGGTCTCAAAACCTTCGCTGAATTTACCGCACACACACAGTACCGTTATTTCACATGTGCACAGTGTGTTCACTCGGGGAAAGCGATGACAGGACAAGGCACAGAGTTCCAAGACAGAGAGCGACTGGGAACTGGCTGCTGCCGCAGCCCCAACAATTTTGGCCTTCAGCCCGCCCCCAGGCTGCTCCCGAGGAAGGGGCCGCTGGAAGCCGGCCCGGCTGCGGTGCGGGACCTGGACCCTGCTAAGAGATGCAATTTCCTCCTTCCCAGCTATTTAGCTGAAAACACAAATCGCTGCTGGAAAATACGAAAAGGCAACCTTTACCGCCAGTTTATTGTTCAGCAGCAGCTGGAATCCCTCTCTCCTCTCCTGCTCATCCCCGTTGTGCAAGCGGTCAGCCTGCTGCAGTAGCTGACCCAGCCCTTCCTCCAGCGAGGAATCGAAGAGTAAATGCGTTTCATCCTCGTTGACGAGATCCAGAGAATCCCGTCGCACGGTTCTCACTGTCTCACAGCTCACTTCGTCTTCCCCTTCTTCGCTCTCTCGCTCGGACTCCCGGTCGTAATCAGACTCAGCGTTGGCTGTGGTGTACCTTTGAGAAAAAAAAAAAATCAAAACCAAACCACAATGTAAAATCAGTTGGAGGAGATGCTGTGCAGCCTGTCACAGCTTTACATATACGGTACAGAAAAAACAACTCCCGAGAGAGGAAGAGGAGTATCTTAGCTTGTCCTGAGAACATGCTACAATCCAAGTGTCTCAAATAACACACCAATCATTATTTCTCATGTAATGTACACAACCTCCGAAAGCTGAAGGCAGAAGGGCCCCCAGACGGTAAGTACAGCTCAGTCACAAGCGTCTACGTCTCACTTGTGCACCGTGACAGCTCCTCTCAGGCCTTCCAACTTCAGTGTAAGAGAACTAAACACCTAAGAACAGAGCCGGGACAATTCTGTTCAACGCATGGATTATAAAAGAGAATTTCAACAAAAAAATCAACAGGCTCATCCACGTGGGAAACAGAACCTGAGGTTTTTAGCCTGTTCCAGGAGATTTCAGACACAATAGCTGTTTTGGCAATATCTAGTACCTCCATCATCTTGTCTGAGCGCTAAGTACGAAACAGGTTCTTCACGCTGACGTGGGGAAAGGTGCAAAGCAGTAGGAGGACTCCAAACTCTTTCACGGGAGAAGCCCTGCGAGGGGACGGCAGATGAGGCACAGAGAGACACCACAGGTACAAAACCCCAGGCAATGCCTAGCTGCTGCATTAGTCAAATGAACCAGGAAAAAGCTCGGATCAAAATTTCCAAAACCAGCTCAAATTAAGCTCCCCTGAGTAACACACAGGCGCCTAAACTGGCAACTTAAACCAGCATTATCTGTTGACTGATACCACTGCAGCGGAGTGACTACTTGCACAACTAATGTCCTTTTAAAGACGACTCTATTTGTCCCCCTCTCATTCATCTGCAAGCTCTTAACTGAAGAATAAGCGCGAGTCAGTGAGCAAGAATTTGGATTTTGTCGGTTTATCGGAATAGAAAGTTCTCTTCCTGAAGCAAGCTACTTCAAATCCCAAACACACTTAATTCTAGGGGATGTTTGCAACTGTTGCCCAATTAAACTGTGCCGCAGCCAACTTGACAAGTTCTGCTAGGACTGCAAGTCGTTGCAGTCTGGGGGCACTCGGTAAGCGCCGCTGCGCTCCCGTTCGTCCTGGCTGAACTCCTCTGCGAGGAGAGCCTCGCGCTCCGTGGGTGAAGCTGCCCTTGGCTGCAGACAAAGATACGTGACCAAAGCCCGCATCTGAGAGAGCAGTTGCAGTCATTTGGCCACACATAGATAACAAGACACATTTGGCTAGCAAAGCTTCGGTTTTCCGAGAACCATTAATAGTGCTCGAGCACTTCCCTCCCTGGCAGAGGGTACGCAAAGCCCCTCACCCACCCCAGCCTCCCACCCGCAGCCGTAAATTAAACGCACACCACTTTCTACTGAAATGTTTTAAGACAAGAAATAAAGTAAGAGTCAGCCTTATCGCTGCAAAGGCAGGAAAGCGAGCGCTACGAGACGACATGCTGGAGAGTACGTAGGCAGCACTAAATTAATGGATGATGGGGCAGCGCAGTGGTAGGTGACACTGGCTGGCTCCGTTTCAGATTAAACGCTTCATTTCTTGTTATTTTCTTAAGATTAACGGTATTATTAGTTCTCTAGACTACCTCGTTTCCAGTACTTCTCCACAAACTCCTCAAATTCTCTCATTTCCCGTCCCAGCCTGCTACGCAGCACAGTCGTGGGCTACGCAGCTGCGATACTGTCTGAGTACAACATTTTACTGGCAGCTGCAAAGATTTCAGTCCTTCAACTGAAAAACACTTTCCACACTGAAGGCTCCTGAAACACAATAGGGTCTGTAAAAGCAGGCGGCGACGGATGGCTCCTGTACGCGTCTCTCTTTCTCCACCACAAAAATGTGTTTTCTCCAAGGCAGCTCATACAAGACGCTGCCAGTTTAAAAAGATAAGTAAAACCGTATATGACTTCATAAACTCAGAGTTTTCAGAAAGATTAAGGGATTTAGATGTTATCAGCCTGTCTTCTGGAGTTTACAACAATGGAAAGCTCTTAAAAGCTTTAGTGTGTCGAGGCCTCTGGCTAGCACACATCCTGAACGAAAATGAAAACATACTCCCTGGAACAAAAAAGCACATGGAAAGAGGAGGCAAAGCAGCCCAAAAGACCGAGGCAGTGCCAAAGCAATATAGAGAAATTAAGCAGCCCGAGTCCTCTGGGCTCCTGCTCCTGAAAGCTCGTCATGATTTTTGCAAATTGTGTCTGAAATGGGAGAAGATGCTGATGTCCGTGTGGTTTGCAAAATAAAGCTGAAACGCGAGTTGTTCTTTCTGAATTTCATCAAAAGAATACAGTTGCCAGAAATGAATACAGAGCTGAAATTTATCTGCTGAGAATAGGCTCATTCTTCCTCCCAGTGGCTGCTAAAAAGCTTAAATAGTCTCTTCCAAAATATATCCAAAATATATATTTCCTACCCTGATTTTCTACTAGAAAAATTTAGTATTTATGTCTCTAAAAGACAATGTTGTGTAGTGAAGGCAGCTGGTCCCAAACAGACTAATACTATACCTATTTGTACAGGACAAATACCAGAGTGAGGAAATTACATACCATTTGAATTATTTTAAATCAGATGAGCGCTGCTTATCCACTAATTCTCCACACTGGTCACTAAAGCTAACTACAGACTTTAAATAAAACCTAAGAACTCCTGCAACCGTCACTAGGTTCCCCGTAAAGCGATGAGGTGCTGCAGCCAAACACACCCCCGCTCCACCCGCGGTCCCCCAGGGACGCTGCCGCTCTGAACCTTAGACCCGCTGTCGGCCCCTCTCTCCACTTAACGCTCTCCGAAGATCGGAGGACAGCTAGAGCCGCTAGCTGCTGAAGACGACCATCCTTTTCAGCGTGCTTTACAAAATACACTGGCGCCCCGATGACTCACCGCATCTGCTGTTATCCCGACGGCGAGGTCTTGTCTTCAGAACCAACTCTATAGTTTTACCATTTGTTACGCAGCCCCGGTACCCGTTGCACCGCCGCGAATCGCCTACTCCCCCGCCTTGCTTTCGCGGGAGCACCCGCTTCAGATGGAGCCGTTCTATAACCTGAATGAGATCGCGTCAGCTCTTTCCTGCTTCGCCAACTCCAGCTGCTAAAGATAACACACTGCAACGTGGCGGGTTTGCGGCAGCCCCGTGGCCTTCGGTCGAGGGGGCTGCGACAGTAACGGCTGCTTTGTCCCCGCTGCCCCAGCCGTGCTGCCAAGGGGCAGTGTGGGCCAGCGGAGCGGGCGCTCGGCTGCGACCGAACCGCACGTCCGCGCCAAACTCTGCCTGCCCTGCTCTCGCCGCTACAATTAACTTCTCGCTTTAGATTACGTTGCATTTCAGCTTCCCCGGGAACACGCGCACAGCCAGCGACGCGCGTTTTACAACACCCCCCTCCCCTCAAAAGCCAGAGCGTTCATCCGAGTAAGGCACAGAGAGAAGCGCTTCCTCAGAAAGGCGGCAGTGCCATACACGTATGCAGCAGAACTCGTTATCTAATATGACAATACTTGTATCTCTATTGTAATTTTTACTGATGTTCTTAAATTACACGGTACTTTTCACCTGTTTTTAAACCATAAGAACTTAAGCAACACAACTGATCACCAGTGACACACTGAGAAAAATCCACAAGAAATACCCTAGCCAAAGACATTTTAGTTAACTGGAATATATTTTTAACTTTCTCACGTTTTCCAGACGTTCTAAAATATATTACTGTAGGGAAATCTTATTTATAAGCTCTCTCACTCGATTCCCAGGCTGGACTTCTAATTCCCTTCTTCCTGCAAGGTTCCCTAATCAAATTATTGCCTAAAAAACCCACCAAAACTATACATATCTTTTTTTCTTTCCCCCCTTTTTCTAAAAGTTGGAATCACAGCACTTCTCTCAAGCCGGCCCTGGCAGTATAGACTTACTGTAATAAATGCAAATAAAAACAGGATGACAGACGCCTGTGGAGAAAAACAAACCCAATCCCTGCCTTTATGTTACAAACTGCTCAGACCTAATTGGGCACCAAAGCCCGCAAAAGCTGCTTCTAGGCGGGCGCTCTGCTTACCCTCCTTCACTTTCTCCGTCGTCCGTATTGGCCGTTCCTGAGCTGGCTGTGAAATAAATTGAACTGGAGCCCGTGGAATCGCTTCTTTCTCGAGGAAACGGGAACCGCCTCCGGCGCGTTACTTTCTGGGTTTCTTCCAGATGGGACCTTTGAGGAAGGCAAAAAGAGAAACAAATGAACATTTGGTAGTGAGATGTCTGCTACTTCGCTTCCCTTCTGCTCCTGAGTGGATTCTGTCCAATTCACTTTACCTCCAAAGAATTCACAAGGAGCCTTACTCTGGCTCATACAACCATCCCGCTGCCGTACGCCAAACATCGTACCCTGCAGTCACAGCAAGTCTGACCGCAGGCTTTATACAGTCCGTACACGCAACCCCCAAACAAAGGAGCAACCGCATCACACGCATTCCTCTGACTTCCTCCATGGAGGAAGAGAAAGGAGCCCTGAAACACCCTGCAGAATGTAGCGCCTTTTATTCTGTGTCACACCTTACCTACAGCGGGCAGCAGAGACAAAACAGCGGTAGGAAGAGACAAACGTTTCCAGAACAAATAACCTTCCCGGTCTGCAACACGAGCGAGTGTCGGTACTTAATATCCCAGAAGGGGAAAAACCCAACCCTGGCTAAACACACAATTTGTTTTACATGAATCTCACTGGAGGTCAAGACATAACGCCAGCAGAAACTGAAGAGACGCTTTGCCCGCTTTGAGATTTTAAATTTAAGATAGGCAATCACGGCTGGTTTGCCGTGCGCCGGAGTAAATGCGCGCAACGGTAGAAAAAGACAGCAAGGGGCGGGGGCGATACCTGACTTCGCCAACGATTTCTGCAGCCAAGTGCTGCAGGCTGTTCCGCAGCTCCTCCACCTCCTTCCTTAGCTCGGAAATGTTTCTCAACACAAAGTCGAGGCGCTCCAGCACATCCACCTGCTCGTGCTGCGCGAGGAGAGGTGCGGACACAGCACCGTCTCCCGCCTCCGCAGGAACCAGCACTCTGGGCACGACTTAAAGAAAACAAGAGGAGAAAAAGCTCGTGAGATGCAAATGGGAAAGGATTTCACATAAGAATTTTTAGTACAGTTTTGGTTTGGGTTTTTTTTTTTTTTTCCAGAAGACAGAGGCTATGAGGCTCGCTCTCAAGTATTGCCGCCCGGCCTGAGGTTTTGGGTTCTTCAGCTGGTTTACTGCTCCCTTCTCTCACACCAGCACCTGGCCACACGACCAGATTTGCCACAGCAACTCGGGGTAAACAAAGCTCTCTTAAGTACACTTCTATAAAAATCCCCTTGTAACTCTTTTTTTAAAAGTGCAAAATCCACACTGAATATCACAGAGTCTACCGTAGGTAAAGAAACTGCTGTGGGGTTGGGGGTTTTTTTTAAGTCCTTACTCCACATTAACTTATTTCCTATTCTCCGCACTTCTGTATGAACATCCCACTGAAAAACCACACTCTGCTTTTCTCCTGAATTGCCATCAACCCAGGAGGACATCAGCCAGGAGAGCAACCAGCTTACAGGGTAACACGTGACAATGAACAAGGGCAACGGAAGCCAAGTTTGGCCAAAAAGGACCCAAAAAAAGGGCCACACAAAACCAAAATCCCCTGTATTCTTATTCAAGGAAAAAACCAACACAGAAACTGCAGGAGGAGACATCTGACTTTAAACAGCGGTTTAGTCATCAAAATGTGTCATTGCTTTCTACCGAGTATCTCAAACCTTCACCAGCTCTGCCCGGTCCTTGCGTCTCCTCGCCGACACTGCATGACCAACCGGCACACAGAACAGATTTACATCTGTGGATCTTAAATATGCTTTCTTGAAAGCTCATGAATACTATAAATAAATATACTACCAGTTAAGTCAATTATTTAAGAAGGAACACACTTTTATATTAACAACAATAAAAATAGATAATCACTCTCAAAAAAGCAGCCAGACTCGCAGAAAAGAAGGGCTTATCTGCCAGGGTACCCCGTGCTAACGCATCTAAACTCAGAGATAAAAATATAAATTCCCTGGAATAAAGGAGTACTGTAATCTTTTCCTTCTCAGAAACGACGCTGTTTGCTCAAGAGGGGGCTGTGGGGAATCTCACAGGGTTGTTTCCGCGCGCCTGCCCCGCTCCGGCGGCCTTTGTCACACCAGCAGAGGCCGACGCTCCTGTCCTGCCCCGTTCTGCTCAGGAGCTGCCGCTTCAGGGCAAAGTCCCGTGAAACCGGATGAACCGATTACTTTGAAGATATACATATGGTGGGCAGACATGTGTCGCAGCCATAGTTACCAGCCTGTCAGAGCCACTTACCACAGCCACAGGGGTGTTTCTGCTCTGCTGGTACCGCCACAGTGCCTGGACGGCGCACACTACCTGCGGCGCAGCAGGAGGAGGGTGAGGTACGAGTACCTACAGCCTGGTTCTGCACCATCGCAGGTAAGATTACATTGTTCACAAACTACTCCAGCCCCAACACAGCAGCAAAGACGAGACTTCAGGTACCCCACTAAAGCCAGCCAAGTAAAAGCTCTTCCCTAGAAGTAACTTTATTTTTAAACTTAGTCCACTGAACTGCACGTTACCGAAGGGAAACCCCCCACGTTTGTCCTCGCTCAGCCCCCTGTGCTGCCGGGCTCATTGCAAAACCCAAACTATCGTAGTATCACAGAACGGTTTGGGTTGGAAGAGACCTTTAAAGGCCATCCAGTTCCCCCCCCTGCCCTGGGCAGGGCCAGCTCCCCCCAGCCCAGGTTGCTCCAAGCCCCGTCCAACCTGGCCTTGAACACCTCCAGGGATGGGGCAGCCACAGCTTCTCGGGGCAACCTGCCCCAGGGGATCACCGCCCTCACAGCAAAGAATTTCTTCCTGATATCTCATCTCAATCTCCGCTCTTTCAGTGTCAAACCATTCCCCCTCGTCCCATCGCTCCCCTCCCTGATGTAGAGTCCATCCCCAGCTCTCCTGGAGACCCTTTAGGCACTGGAAGGCCACAATAAGAC